TAACATGACATACACCTTAACATTTATTACTACAAACAACTCAGTGGATAGTTTGGGAGTCTTTCCAGTCTCCACTTCCAGAAGGAGCAGCTTATTCTGATAAACAACCTGCTGAAGGCCAATTTCAATTCTCCTGAGGAATAGCCAGTTGATGGAAATGTGTTGGTGAGCAGGACTCCCTTTCCACAAGCAGTGAAGCAACCAAGCGTTGGAAGTGATTATAGAGGCTCTCAAGGCAACTCCTGTCTTCCAGAGGAATAATTCTACCTTCACCATAATATATATGATGGAAACTCCTTTGACATGGCATGCATATTTCATTGTGAAATTATAAACAATTGTCTAGAATCAGATATCTCAGGAAGGGATGCCCAATGTCTTAGTATACATCAACTAAGGTTTTAAAAGATTGATAGATCCTTTTCCTATGAGTAGATTTTGATCGCAAGGATGATTAAAAAAACCCAGGGGTTTCCGAAGATCTGAAAGTAACACACACAGAGAACAGATATAAAAGAAACCTTAGAGCACCACAAAATATGCTAACGCTGTGAGTAACGAAGGCAGAAAGGAAGAATTTATGTTACTGAAATTTATGATTTTAAAGGCTATGTCATATATTTTAATCAATTCCCAAGTCTCATATAAAAGAGCTACATTCCACGGCTTAATAAGAAAATGGCCTGTTAAAATGCATGGCAGAAAGTACACCTTCACATGCTCCTACCTACGAACAACTGGCTGCTGAGCTGCCATCGGAAATGGCCCTCTTCCGAATTCTCCCTGACCCTCCGTGGGAGGCTGTCCACTTGGAGTGAGGCTTCCTTGAGGTTCCTCTCAGCTCGGATGTAATGCCATTGATTATCATTCAGAAGAGAAGGAGATTGGACTATTAGTTCCAAAGGACCCTTCCCAGCATCGATGACAAAAGTGATCTCAGAAGGAGCTGAAACCAAAAGGAAAACAGAAAGAAGAATGAAAATGGGTTTATTGAGGGTCTGCAGATATCCTGAATGATTGGCGGAGAGATGATTGACTTCAACTAGAATACCTGAAGCGGTGAAATTAACAGTGAAAATTACCAAAGAGGGGACTCTACTGAAAGAGGTGAATTGAGGCTTATTTTTGATTTACTGCATCCCAAAGTTTCTGGGTGGTGTGTGTGTGTGTGTGTGTGTGTGTGTGTGTGTGTGTGTTTATCCAGTTGTTCTTTGTAGAGTGACTTCAGGGAGGTGGACAGGGCCTGGGTTATTAATGCTTATGCTGTGTGGCACACACATGCTAAGTCCCTGCCATCTGAGGATCTACATTCATTGTGTATGGGTGTATGTATGCCTGGCATTAGACAAGTAGCTTTGCTTCGTGCTCTGGAAAGCTTAGCACAGTTTTTCAGGTTATTTCCCACATACGTTTGATGCAAAGATTATTGTTCATCTGATTTAAATAAAATAGAAAGAAAGCTTAAGATGTACAAGTGCCTTGCCCAAGGCGATACAGCTGTTTGGCATCAAACCAAAGCCACATGCCTCCATAACTGGGCTAATTCCTCACAACTTTCCATACACTAGAAGACCAGGAATGCCAGCCCGGTCATTCGGCCACCAGCTAGAAATTGTATTAGTGATGATGATAATGGTGTGGCAACAAACCGAGAGAAAGAGGGAAGTGGTAGCATAAGAGGTAAACTTAACTTCCTAACTAGTACTGTGCTAGGAACTTCATGTGCATTCTTCATTTTAACCCTCAAAAGAAGCCTATGAGAATGGAATCCTTTGTTCCCATTTTATGTATGAGAAAACCCAAGCTTAGAGATGTGTACATAAGTTACTCAATTCTTCCCAGAGAGGTAGGAAGCCGATTCTGACTCACAGAAACAATTCTTCCACATCTACCTCTAGTTGGCATATGGCTCTGGGCATTACACTGAGGGCCATTTCTAGCTCTGTAGGAAGTAAAAAGGTTCATTATAAACCAAACTTGAGGACGAACTGTATAACTGAAGTCCCTTGTATAACTGGAGTCTTCATATCCAGATCTTCTCTTCCTTCTAAGCACCTTTCTATCTCATCTTCCCTCAAACAAACACACACACAAAAGAAGGATATGGTTATTTGATACATTTATCAACTACTAAGGTCTGCATTATGAGAGATGCTCAGATCACAAACTGCTCAGCAGTCTGTCTACCCTACCAGAAGGTCAGCCTCAGCACAAGAAGGCCCCAGCACGTAGACAAATCAAACAACTCTCAGCTCTAACTGATGAGCATGAACCTTGATTGTGAGGTTGCATCAGTTTACCCAGTCAGGAACTGATCTGTAACGAACAATTTTATTTTTGTGTCACGGCATTAATTATTGTACTTCTAAGGGTGGATGGTATTTATCTTTCTCTACCAATCGTACACCTGCCTACGAAATGAAAATCTCTTGAAATTTACAATCCTTGATATGGAATACTACTCAGTAAGCAGCACAAGCAAGGCCTTACTTGTAGTTTCTTACTAATTGGTAGTGAACAATTTTAAATGGATGGCAGAAGTGGTGAAATCCATGAGGAATTGGTGGTTTACTGGTGAACTATCCCTGACTTCAAGGAAAATCCCTAAGAGAAGTCACAGAGCTGCCTGGTGTGTGTTGTCGGAAAGTGCTGTCGAGTTGGTACTGACTCATAGCTACCAAATGTCCAACAGAACAAAACCCTCTCACGATTGTCTTTATGTTCAAGCTCACTGTGTCAATCCATTTTGTCAAATGTCTCCCTGTTTTTCATTGCCTTTCTTCTTTTCCTAGCATGTTTTCCAGGAACTGGTCTCTCCTGATAACATGCCCAAAGTACTTAAGATGAAGTCTTGCCATCTTCATTAATAAAGAGCATTCTGCCAGTACTTCTTCCAAGAAAGATCTGTTTGCTCATTTGGCAGCCCATGGTACTTTCAATATCCCTTGCCAGCACCATAATTCAAATGCATTTTAAAGCCTGTAGTATTCCCTTGTTCAAGAGCACTTGATTGTGTGGATCATAAACAACTGTGGATAACATCGACAAAAATGGAAATTCTAGAACACTTAGTTATGCTCATGTGAAACCTGAATATGGATCAAGAGGCATTTACTCAGACAGAATAAGGGAATGCTACAGGGTTTTAAATTAGGGCAGGTATAGATCAGCTTGTATCCTTTCACCATAGTTATTCAATCTGTGTGTTGAGCAAATAATACAAAAAGCTGGACCAAATGAAAAAGAACTCAGCATCAGGTTTGGAGGAAGGCTTATAACAACCTTTGATATGCAGATGACAAAAACTTGCTTATTTAATTAAGGAAGATTTAAAGCATTTGCTAAGACAACCAAGGATTTCAACTTTCAGTATTATTACGACTCAGTGTAAAGAACAGCGAAATCCTCAAAACTGAACCAAGAGGCAAAAGCGTGATACATGGAGAACAGATTGAAGTTGTTAAGGATTTGTCTTGCTTGGATCCACAATCAGTGCTCATGGAAGCAACAGTCAAGAAATCAAAGGACACATCGCATTGGGTAAATCTGCTGTGTCAAACTTGCACAGAAGTGTTGGCGAGCAAGGACGGCACTTTGAGGACTAAGGGCTTCTTGACCCAAGCCAGGATACTTTCAATTGCCTCACATGAAAGATGGTATTGAATAAGGAAGACCAAAGTAACATCAATGCATTTGAATAAAAGACAAGTAAATATTTGTCTGAAAGTCCCTGCATTGAGCTAAGATCTAGCTGATGTCAGCAATGATCTTCCTTGTTCCACACCCTTTTCTGAATCCAGCCTGATTTTCGGGCAGTTTCCTATCGTTTTGCTGCTCCAACAGTTGAATGATTTTCAGCAACATTTTACTTGCATGTTATGCTAATGATGCTGTCCAATAGTTTCAAGATTTTTCACTTTTCTTTGGAATGGGTTCCAGTTGGTTGGCCAGGCACCAACCTTCTAAATATCTTGGCATTGGCTCGTGAAGGCTTCCAGTGTTTCATCAGCAGGTTGGCACATTCCATTTGGTATCCTGTCAATTCCTGGAACCTTGTTCCTCACTAATGTCTTCTGTGCAGTTGAGATGTCTTCCTTCTGTACCACTGGTTCTTGAACATATGCTATCTGTTGAAATAGTTGTTAAGATTAGTTCTTTTTGATATAATAACTCTGTGTATTCTTTCTATCTTACTTTGATGCTTCTTGCATCATTGGATATTTTGCCAAGAGGATCTTTTAATATTGGAACTAGATACTTGTTCTTTTCTTCAGCTCTTGTACCTTCAGCATGCTCTTCCTGTTTGGTTTTCTAATTCTAGGTATTTTTACACCTCATTATAATACTTTTTCTTCTCGAGTTGCCCTTTGACATTTT